GTTGGGCCACCAACCCCCATGCCGAGGGATGCCGGCTGCTGCTGGGCAGCGTTTGGATAGCCACAAACTGCCTCCTCCTGGACAAAAGGCCTCCTACCCCACACAGTCGTCTAACTGCTGCAGATCTTCGGGCAGGAGCCGAGCTCTGAAGCAGGACAAGTTTAGCAAGTTAATTTTTTGTAACAGCAATGCTCTGTTATGTACTAACAGATAGGGATATAGAACATGTGTGTAATTAGTGCTGCGGATCTTTCTCTCTTCTTAAATACTATTCGCTTTTGTACTCGGAGGAGGGCTTTCTCTGCGGTGGCGCCCAACCTATGGAATTCACTCCCCAAAGAGGTCCGCCTGGCACCGTCGTTACTGGTTTTTCGGCGCCAGGTAAAGACCTTTTTATTTAAACATCATTTTAATTGTTAAAACATATGATCTGGCCAGGGCAACTTCTTCTTCCTTCTCTTTCTCCTCCTATATTTTTATTTACTTTATACTGATAATTTTAATCTTATATTTGTAAATCAATGTATTTTTTGTATTTTGTATTTAATGGTAATTTATTATGTGCTATTGTATTTCATTGTATTTTATCGTGTTGTAAGCCGCCCCGAGGTTTCAGCAAGGGGCGGCATAGAAATGTAATAATAATAATAATAATAATAATAATAATAATAATATGAGGGTGCAGTTTGGTTGTTTTTGTATTGTACAATAAAACATGAATATAAGTTTAAACATTTAGCAAATGAAAATGCATGGGCATTTGCTGTGTCCAAAAGGCCAAACAATTCAGTGAAGAAATGGGCCAAGCAGCATTGTGGACCTACCTGTGGGGATATAAGCCAGAAACTATGAATTGCCCCTCATAAACGGGGCAACTGGAGCATACGCCTGTCACCTGGCCCTCCGCCACCACTGGTCTCTCTTCTTCTGGATGCCAGGCGATTTCCTCTGCCCCCACTTTTCCTAGCCGGCCCCGTTGCTGGGAGGAGGATGCCGGGAGCAGCGGTATAACTAATTGATGCCTTGATGGCCTGTGTTTCTAAGTGCCTCCCGAGCACAGCAATGCTCCCGAGCCCGGGCACCGATGCCAGGCCCCTCAACCACACTTAAACAATTCACTAATGCACGAGCGTTCAATTTTCATCCTTCTTGTTCCTTGAACAAGTTGGATCCCCAGGGAGCATTTGAATGAACTGTAGCCCATTTTGAGGGGAGACCCAACCGCTCTTGGGATCCATCCATAACTAGGGAAGCAGTTCCAGTGGCTATAGCAAAGGAGGGTGAACCAAACGGGCACTCAGAGGGCAAGGGCAGGGCCTGCCCCTTTCCCCAACTGCCTATCATTGGGTGATTTCTCAGCCTTTGTGCAGTTTTACCCCATTCTGAATGGTTAATATGCCTCTCTGAAGGCTGAGTTACTGCGGGAAGAATTCTGAGAAAGTGAACTGAAAAGGTTGTGCAGCAACGGCAAACTCAGGAATCCCTGTGCGGATCGTGGCAGCAAAATGCACACAGCGGCTGCAACAGGAACAAAGAAAACTTCCTAAGTGAAAGATCCTCTGCTGGGGATTCCCCCATTTCCAAAAAAGAAAGAAAAGAAGGAAACAAGCTTAGCTGCTGCAGAATATGGATTGACAGTTGATGTGAGAACAGGTGCTGGTGCTGGAAAGGAGTCGTCTGAAGGGGATCTGGCTGGCTGGCTCTCTAACCGGGAATATTTTGTTTCATCAAATTAAACAGATAGAAAAGAAATATTTTTCTGCAGTTCCTGGTCATTGGGTTTCCTTTGTAGTCTGATCCATTCATTCCATGCATGGATTTAGGCTACCGTTTCACTAAATGTCAAACTTTTGCATTTTTCTTCCTTAAACAGGGAAAAATTGTTTTGCTTTTAAAACAGTGATGGAGATTTGGGTTCTTGAGTGGTTTGGCTGGAATTTATTTCCTGTTGATCTCATTGGTATTCCCATTTGACTTCAATTTGCTTTACACAACAAAACCCCCAGCAGAAATAAATAGAGTGCATCTCTAAAATCTCCCAAGAGCCCAGAGTGGCCACTCACAGAGAGCAGAGGCTGCCCAGTGCTTCTCTGTGGGATTCATTGCTCTGAGAGTGTTGCCTCAGTCCAGGCATCCTCTCTGAGGGGGTTGGGGTCAGCTGATTTTGCAGTTTGTCTGCACTGGATATGCCTGGATCATCCCTGACGCAGCCCAGTTTCCTGCCATCAGAGGAGACTTCCTGTTGCTTCTCTGCTGGAAGCAATTGATGCACAATAGCTGTTGTCCTTCCAGAACCTGGCTTGAAAGCCACCTGCTCACGGGGCCCTTTTAATACCCAAATCAAGCACACCACAATCAGGTGGAGGGGGCAAAGGCTTTCCCTTTCACATGCCCTGCCGATGGGGTGGATGCTGGGGCAAACCCCATGCTGCTCCCCAAGGGGGCATGTGCGAAAGGGATTCATCTCTTCCTCTCTTCAAATGGCTGCCTCCAATGTCAACTGTGACAGACTTGGTCTACCTCTCAGCCTACCTTGCAGGGTTGTTGTGAAGATAAAATGCTGCAGAGGAGGACTGTATAATTCACCCCATGTCCCTTGCAAGAACAAACATCATGGTACATGAATGTAATAACCAGCGCACAAACACGAATCAATGAATGCAAGAGTCACATAATTAGCAACTGTGTGAACAGCTTCAAAAAGCAACAGTGTGTATATACAAGTGTTTCAGAGCAGGATGTGTGTGTATGCGTGCCAGAGAGAGAGAGAGAGAGAGAGAGAGAGGGGGGGGGGGGGGGGGGGGGGGGAGAGAGAGAGAAGGGTAGCTCTTTCCCCCAATCTAGTTTGTTGGGGAGGGGATTCTGCATCCCCTATTTCTGTCAAGAGAAGCTTTTATTGGACAAGATGCTCCCATTCATACCAGTGTTAGTAACAACTGTAGGAGCACCAATCAGGGTTGGGACGGCTACGGATGGAGGAAAAGGATAATACACCCTTTCCCCAGTTCGTATCAGCAGCTGCTGTTTACTTTTCTAAAGGCACCGGTAGGATTGCTATTGCTAGAGCTCCGCTTTGGCCCTCAAACCCCTCCTATTCATGCATTGCTATCTGCTCATAAGTTGCTTGTACCCATGCTGGGGAAAGAAAAGCTACAGGTGCATCATAGCTGCAGAATCACGGAGGGGAGCTGACTATCCGTTTTTCGTACCTCCTGGCTTTTCACAGGCAATCCGTCCAGAAGGGAAAGACGCAATAGCTGCTCCGTGCCTTTGGCCTGGGAACGCTCAGGAGTCCCGTCCGGACCTTCCCTTGAAGCAGAACTTCCCCGCGTTTTGCTTCTAGGCCCAAGCACGGAAAAACGCGCCCCTTGATTGCTTTCTTCCCCCGATCGAAGCGCGCTCCTCCCAAATACGCGCTGCCGATCAGCCGTCCCTATCCAGGCCATCAAAGCGCGCACCCCCACCGAAATTCCCTTCCCGAGTTTGCAAACGCCCACCAGGCGGGCGACGGAGGGGAGGGGCGCATCCGCCCCCGCGGTCTACAGACAGGCCCTGCAGCGGTTGTGCCGTGCCGCCAAGTCGAGCCGGAGTGCGAGTCCTCCAAAAGCCCACTCCGCTCCGGTCGAAAGCCAAGCTGCGGCTTTCCCGCGCGGCACCGACCCATCCCCGGCTCGGACAGGCGTTGCTGCGGGGCGCAAACCAAGCGTGCGCGTGCGGCGGCGGCGGCGGGGGTCGTCCGACATCACGCGGACCACCAAGGCGCGCCAGCTCTCGCCTTGCCTCATCTTCGCCTTCTGCTTTCGGGGCGTCAAGCCGCGGCTGGAGGCCGAAAAGCCCCGCGCGCTGGATTCCTTCTGGTCGGTGGGCAGCCTGGCTTGCCTCTTCTTGAGCGGGGCGTGCGGGCCCGGCTGGTCTCCGAGGGTTATTGCAGGCGCCGACGCTGGGAGGGGGCGCCGCCGAAGAAGTTTCGGGAGTTGGCGGCTCAAGGCCCCTTCGCAGTGCCTCAGATCCCGGGGGATCCCATGGGCCTTACTCCCAGGTAAGTGCGCAGGTGAGGAAAGCACGGCTTCAGCCCGGGGGTGCTGCCAGGGAGTGGGGCGGAGGCTGCGGCGCTCTGGCAGCTGGCGGCCTCGAATTGAAAAACGCGCGCCCGAGCCCGCCTGGATGAGCGAAGCGGCCCGGAGGCGGCGGCTATAGGCTCGCTTTCGCCGGGCGGGAGAGGCGAGGCGGGGCGGGGCTCTCCGGCGCCCTCTCCCTCGAGCGCCGAGGACCTCGCCGCGCCGTCGGGAAGGCGAGTCGCCCGGGGGCGGAGAGAGCGCGGCGCGGGGGGGCGAGGGAGGGAGGCGGAGGGATGCCATGTGAGTTGGGGCAGCAAAAGGCAGGTGGAACGTCCTGCAGGATGGAGAGGGGCCGAGGAAAGAGGAGGAGGAAGAGCGGGCGGCGGCACCACCAGCACCAGGAGCTGCCGCTTCTCTTCCCCCCGGCCGCGCTTTTGACACTGTCCAGCTCCCCGAAGCGCCCCGCCGCGGAGAACCTGCAACTCTTCTAAACTTGGGCGTAGGCGGAGAAGCCGCGGCAGCGCCGACCGAGCCGGGCAGGGAGGCGGCGATCCCCGGTCTCCCAGAGGCTCTTCTGCTTCTCCGCTTCGTGCCCCCCCCGCCCCGCTCCGCTCCAGTTTCCCGGATGGCCTGAGGACGCTGAGGAGGCACCGGCCCAGGCGAGGGGCGACGCTTCTTGGGGAAGGTCCGCACGTGCGCCCGGGCGCAGCCAGTTCCGGCAGCGCGGCGCTCCGCGAAGTTCCTCCGCCGGGCGGGCGGGCGGGCGGGCGAGAGGCGAGCTGCCGCGCCGCCGAGGGGCGCGGGCTGCCGGAGCGCAGCGGACGGGGAGCCTCACCTGGGCGCGCGCCGGACTCGCTCCGGCCATGACGCTGCCCGGCTGAGCGCCCTCGGGCGAGCCCTTCCCGCGCGCCGCGAGTGCGCCCTCGCCGCCCTCCTCGCGCCATGGCCGGCACCCGCGGCGGGGACCGCTCCGCGCTGCCTCAGGCCGCCCCCCCCGGCGGGGGCGATGCGCAGCGGGAGGAGTTCGTGGCCCTCACCGCCGTGCAGACGGAGAAGAGCGAGCTGCCCACCCCCGGCAGCAGCCCCCGGCGCCTCGGGCTCCTCGGGACTCCCCTGCCGGCGCCGCGCGGGGGCTCGGGGACCCGATCCGCGTCGCACAAGCGCTACCGGCGGCTTCAGAACTGCCTGTACAACGTGCTGGAGAGACCCCGCGGCTGGGCGTTCATCTATCACGCCTTCATGTGAGTAGGTCGCCTTGCCGGTGCGCCTCCAGCCGTGCCGCCCCCGTCCCTCGCTGGCTTTAACTGTCCAGAAGTAAGGGGCGTGCTGGGGCACGGGACACCCCCTCCCCGCGAGTATCCCAGTCGGGCTGACCCACCTTCTAACAGGCCCAGAGCTCAGAGAGTCCCGCTGCTTCTCTCCCCGCAAATGTCCACAGAATATTCGTTATATTTCAATACCACCCATAGCCAAAGCTCTCTGAGTGGTTCACAAAATCAGCCATCCAGATTTCAACCAGACCCAGTCCTGTTTAGCTTCCAAGATTAGGCAGGATCAGGCAGTCCAGGCTATATGGAAGCTCGCGCCACACCCTGCAACGATCTAGGGGCGTCCTGGATTCAGGCTCAGTGGGGAAGATGGGGGTGGGCTGCGTTCTTAAGAGAAGGTCCTCCAAAACTCGTGGGGCTGATTTCCTATTAAACATAGTAAGAAATTGGCCAACTGCTTGGTCATTTCTTGGGAAGGGACTGCGAAGTTCAAAGATTCCCAGTCGTTACCGCCTACCTGTCCTTGGCCCTCTCTTGTAAACTGCATATTTAAGGGGAAAGGAAAGTTTTTAAAGGGGTGTGTTTGGGCGAGAGTAAAGTATCCAAGGGCATTTTCACAAGTCATCTTACCAGTGCCCTGTCTCTGAAAGTGACCTGGGAATATTGGAGAGGGCTGCTGCCGATCGGCAGGTGACCTTCCACCTCGGTCTTCCTTTCCCTGGCCCTTTCCAAGCATTATGGAAGACAGTTCCCAGCTTTTCTGAACACTGATGATGCTGGCTAGAGTTGATGGGAGTTGAAGTCCAAAGCATCGGGATGGTAATAGGTTGGGGTGGCAGTTTTAGCTTGTGTGAGTCTTTGAGACTTGTTTGTGTTCAGTTGCACAGCTCTGAAATGCCAAAGCAGATTTAAATGCCACTTGCCAAAGTGGCATTTAACAGTGCAAAGTACATGACCCTTGCGTAGTAGCACACAACCTTCCACCCCCTCCAACCCCCATTTCGTCAGGACCTGGTCCCTGTATTGTTTGAAGGGATGCTCAGGTCCAGGCGGGAAGATGCTCAGCTCCACTTTGCCTGCCTGGGAGAGGATGCCTCCTCTCTTCCGCAGCTTTCCTGCAGTGGGCTTTACCCACCTGGTCAGAATCCTGACTGCTCTGCTCCTCAACAGTTGAGGGGACTCCAGCTCTGTGGCTGGACTTAGAAGGCCACATTTGGGGTGGCAAGAGCAGGTGCTGAGAAAGCCACCATGTGTTGCAAGGTTAGTTGCCAACAATCGGGGGGTCTCCCTCCCGGGATGCTGCTCTTAGACCCCACATCCGGATCTTTTTAGGAAAAGGGTGTTGAAACAAATGCACAGGCATCCCCTGGGTTGCTCGGTTTATCCTGATCAGTGCCAAAATGTGGCTAAAGGGCAAGCCCTTCCCTGATACCACACTTGTTGTGTGACTTCCTGCACTTGTGAGTCAGGCCTGGAAAGCATTTACCATCATAAGCCACCTTCTCACTAAGCAATGTAGCTCTCTTTCCAGTTTGGCGTGATGAAGAGTTCCATGTAACTTGGAAGCTTGCACCACTGATTCGCATTCAGCCAGGAGCTGCTTTGTAGCTGGTGTTGTTGGGCCAACATGGAGAGCTGCCTTCTGTATCTGCAGTTCCTTCACAGGAACTTTTGGCTGTTTTAGCAAGAAGAATGGTCGGATCCCTCACATCCTACCTTCTCCCAAGACTTGGGGTAGATATTAAAAATTGCCTTTTAAAAATATTTATGCCAATGCCCCTAAATCTGGGCACCACCCACAAGACCGAGCAAGGGCAAAGGTGCGTCGCTTGAGTCTTGGATGTGTCCAGGCCGTCCTCTGAACCCCACACTCCAGAGTGCTCTATCCAGAACGATGGGTTGTCATTAACTGCACAGACACCCGGGCTATATCGAAGCGTGTGTCTTCCAGGGGAAGAGCGGTGGAGGCATTAGCCCTGCTCCCCCTGTATGCACTCTGGGTGGAGTGAAGATTTTTCTTTGCCTTGCCGGCTGCGTCCGTGCAGCCAGGCGGATGGTTGATCTGCAGGTGCGTGGGAGCAGATCAGTGTGGGATGGAGGCTGTGCTTCCTTGGGCGATTCCCTGGTCAAAACTGGGGCCTGTGACCACAGCCTCCACCACTGGTCTCTGCCCCAGCGCTGCTGCCCTTCCTCTGACCCAAGGTGAAGGTAAGGCCTTCTGGCCATCAAGAACTTGCTGGACTCCAACTCATCAGCCACAGCTGGCTTGGCCATCAGTCAAAGCTGATGTAGCCCAACAAAAGCTGTACTCCACAGACCCGTGGCTTTCCAGACTGGGACCTCAAGACAAATTGGTCTTGGCTGCTGTTTGCATGAGAGCAAATCAGCTCTGGATTGCACCAGGGGTCCAGATTAAGGTGAAGTTCTGTGAACTTTTATAAGCAAAGTGTCTCCTTCGTTCATACATGTCTGGAACTGAGAACATGTGGCCTTCCTGATGTTGTTGAGCTGCAGTTCCCCTTGGCTAAGGCAGGTGAGAGTTGTAGTTATGGAGAGTCACATGGTTTCCATCCATCCTTGACATACCTGTAGCCACCGACATGTTTTGCAAAGCAGCGTCGGAAAACAGGCAAGTTCTTGACCCCAGGAAGCTTCCAGGCTACATTTTGACCCTGGCGGGAGGAGCAGAAGGGTGGGGAAGAGGTGCATTTGAGCAAGCTTTACATAAGTTTCACTCTGATCTGGGGAGAAGGCTCTATGAATGTTGCAAGGCCCAGTTCTTTTTCCTTGAGGGCGAACCAGCAAGTATCAGCAACTCTTTCAAGTATTTGTACCGGGCGCTTCAATCTTCTAAACACTGCAAACTCTTAGCAGCCAGGACTCCTTTGACTGACCCCTTTTTAATCCATTCTGGAATCTGGCTGGAGCCGCAGTGGTGTGGCATTTGCACGAGTCATAACCGGGCGGCAAAAGACTGCACCTCGTAGGCGAAGGCAGAGCTGAGTGATCCTGAGAGAGCCCTCCAGGGTACGTTTTCAGCCAAACAGGCAGTGCTGATCCTGCTCACTTTCGCTGCCTCGTTTTAGCCAGATGTCTCCCTGAGCTGGGAAGCACGCCCTTGTCTCGCGTGATGCCAGGGGCTGCCTTGGAACAAGTAAAGGGCCAGGAGATTGCGCTGAGCATGCACAGATGGCTTTCCACATCAGGACGATGCTTCTGTGACACAGTGCCGCTCTCTCAGGAACATTGTCGGGGTCTGTGCTGGTGACTTTTGCCCTGCCAGCCAGGTGCCGCCTCCTGTTCCTGAGGCGAGAAACAAGTGCTGGGGGCTAACGGGCAAGGCATGACCAATCGCCATGCTGGCTGGGGGAGGGGATGATGGGAGTTGTAGTTCGGCACATCTGAGGCGGTTGGTTGGGGAAGAGTGTGGTGGAGGCTGTTATCTTGGAAAAGAACTGGATCTAGTCCCAGAAGATGTGGGTGCTTATTTCTCTGTCTTAGGCTTTTTGGCAAACTATGTATTATTGATAGCAGCACGCCCCAGATTGATCCCCCAGGTGTTTGGGATGTCAGTTCCCCTCAGTCCCAGCAAGCATGGCCAACATTTGGGAATGCTGGAAGTCGTATTCCAAAATTTATTTTTATTTATTTATTTATGGATTTATATCCTGCCTTTTTCCTACAAAGGGCTCAAGGCAGCTTACATCATTCGCCTCCATCTTTTCCCCACAACAACAACCCTGTGAGGTGGGTTGGGCTGAGAGTCTGTGACTGGCCCAAAGTCACCCAGTTGGCTCCATGGCTGAGTGGGGACTCGAACCCGGATCATCTGAGTCCCAGTCCCACGCTCTTAACCACTACACCACACTGGCTCAGGCTGGGGAAGACTAGCACAGGCAATAATTGGCTAGTGCCCAAGCTTTTCATGTTTTAACGCTCATCTTTGTTACTCTGCAGCTTCTCTTTTTCTGCTGTATCTTTTGGTTCTTGTTGCTGCTGAATTTTAAATCACATTTTGCTTGTTATGAGCCACCTAAGAGCAGGGTTCAAAATACTGAGGTAAAATATATCATGCAGGTTAAGACGGGGGGTTATACCAAGCTGGCTTGGGTCGGACTGCAGACCTCAACAATGCCTTTGTCACTGTAAATGGAGCCTCCGAAGAATTGGGTCAAAAGTATAGCAGGTGATGCATTGTTTTCGGACATCTTGGAGGCAGTCGTTCGGTGTCTGTGCCCGGATACGATTTTAGTACAATACACGTTTTATTAGCTAAATCTTTTTTTAGCCTTCCATCAAGAGGGAGTGCGAATTCCTGTGTTCTCACTGCATTTATAGATAACAGTAAACTAGGATTCCTGGCTGATCCTGGGTTTCCTTGAATAAGCTACAGGCTCGTATGTGCGAGCCCACTTCCACTTCATGCTCCCTGCTTCTGCAAGCAGAGGTACGAACCAGGAAGCCAAATTATGTCCAAACCCAGGATCCTCGTTTGTTGATCCCAACAAGCCAGGATTCATAAGTCAATAACAAGTCACGGTGTATTGTTGGCTTTTTCTCCCGGCTTGTTTGGAAGCAACAGACCAGGATCCCAGAGTTGGCTGTAACTGCCCTTTTCTTACATCCTTGCCTGCATGAGCAGGAATAGCAAAGCGGGAGTAAACATGGTGCATGCGCAAGCTTATTTTTTATCTGTTTTGTTGCTTTAAAAATCACCTCTGCTTTTAGCTTTATCTGCTTTAGATGCTGAATTTATCTCTCTCAAATGACAAACTGTGCCCATGTGGTACGGAGCATAAAGTGCTGGACTGAGGCACTGCTTGGCCATGAAACACACTGGCTGACTTTGGGCCAGTCACTGACTCTGCCCTGAGGCTACCTCACAAGGTTGTTGGGAGGATGAAATGTAGGGGAGGGGCTTTGTGTAAGAAGCCTTGAGTTCCTTGCAGGAAAAATGGTGGGGTATAAAAATA